TTGAAATCATCGAACCCGACCATGCGGACCACCCCCTGAAGATCTTGGACAAGATTAACCTGGACGAGCTGACGAAGCTCCAAAAGCTAGCCGAGAATACGCAACTCCACCGACTCCAGGCCTTGGAAGAAAACAACACCCCATATACTACGTTTTATATTTGTATTATTCTGAGCATAATCATTATCGCTCTAACTATTTACTATTTCTCTATGAAATACAAGAATGATATTTTAAAACACTTCAAAAGTGACGAGACAAAACCTAAAGACTTGAATTCTGAACATAATACTACCGTATTATTTTCATCTTAGGGATGGAGGAGTTATATGCTCCAACCCCCAGAAAACCCTTAGATTGTAACTTCCATGTAGTGCTGACTTAGGTTTATACGAATACGATTGACCATGCTAGATAGTTAGTTTTCAGTTCTGTTAGCGACGTCGTACCGTCCACATCTCTCTGTACAAATAAAGTTATTTGTTCGAAACTAAAATTTTGGCTTTTTAAAAATAGTTTCTCGTGGCCCGAAAGCTTAATTCACATTTCCGAGGAGTGTTCATGTTGGATGAATTACCCAATAAAATCAGAAGATACGAGAGCGGTATTGTCAATCTTGACAAAAAATAATGATGAAGGGACACATTGGGTGTGTTTTATCAAATCAAGACAAAATATCTCGTACTTTGATAGTTATGGCAACTTGAGACCTCCTCTCGAACTCATAAAATATTTCTACAGCGATGGTAGCTCTAACAACGTAGAGTATAATTATAATGATTTTCAGTTGGACAATCCTTATAATTGCGGTCAACTCTGCCTCAAATTCTTATATAATATGTACCACACTTGAAAATCATGTAGTACATCATAGATAATGTCGCTAGCATTTTCATTATCTGGTTCATCCTCTGTGCTCAGTTCGGATTTCAATTCAGCCATACATCTGGAGGAAAATACAGAATATGGTATAGGACTTACTAGTTTCGAAACATTCAATGTAATTCCCAATGTTGAAGAACAAAATAACCAATTCGTTTTCGGTGACAATGATAATTCCATCACGATTCCAGTGGGATCCTATGAAATCAATGATCTCCAGGACAGTATATCTTCTAGAGTCAAAGATATCGACAAAGAAGCAAGAATCGATATCATTCCCAATTTCAACACTCTATCAGTGACCATAAATACAAATAGGAGGATCAATTTCACTGATAATTCTATTGGTGGATTATTGGGATTTAGTAATCGTATCTTGGAAGCAGATCAAATTCACACATCGGATACCACAGTGAACATTTTGAGTGTCAATGCTATCAATATATATTGTAATATAGCAACACAAAGTTATCATAACGGCCAAGAAAACCATTCGATTCACACTTTCAGTCCAGTTGTTCCTCCAGGATACAAGATTATCGTAACTGTGGATTCAATTATCTATTTCAAGATAAGTGTACGGACAATAGACAACATCACTATCAAAATATTGAATCAAGCTGGAAGACTCATTAATTTTCGAGGCGAAACCATAACTGTCAGCCTTCACTTGAAAAAACTCGGATAATTATGGTTATCAAGTACAATAGGATGGTCGACCCCATTTGGTATAAGGGAGCAAAGATTTTAGGAAAACCCACCAGTGTGAAGAAAAACACCAAGAGACTAACACGTTCCAATCGTCTTTTTTTAAAGTCTCTAGGATTTACGCTTCTAATATAATGGATATTTTGACTATCAATCAAAAACCGTTAGTTGACCAATCAATTCAAGAAAAGGAGTATCACACATACCAACCATTTCTACAAAAATTTGAATACAATGACGAAATTAGAATATCAATTCAGGAGCTTGATACATATACTTTGCCATGTGAAAGTTACCTATACATTGAAGGTCGTTTGACGCAATCCAATGGAACGGCTATCGACAAACTCAGATTCATCAATAATGCTATAAACTTTCTATTCAGAGAGGTAAGGTATGAATTGAATGGTATAACAATTGATTCAGTTAGAAATATTGGCCTCGTATCGACAATAAAGGGGTACTTATCATACAATGCGAATGAAAGTATCAACTTGGAAAACGCAGGTTGGTTTCCGAAAGTGAATTTCGCCAACAAGGATGAGAAAGTTCTTGTAGATGCTAAAGGAAATTTCAGCGTATGTATCCCACTTTCCTTCATCATGGGTTTCTTCGAGGACTATCGAAAGGTGATTTTGAACATGAAACAGGAATTGGTGTTGATTCGAAGCAATGACGACATCGACGCCACATACAGTTCCGATGTGAAGGAAATTCCAAAAGTACACATCGACAAGATATTCTGGAGAATGCCTCACGTTTTATTAGATATTCCACAACAATTGCTGTTCACTAAAATGGTAGAAAAAAATCAAGAAATATTTCTAGCATTCCGAAGTTGGGAACTCATAGAATACCCCAAATTGCCTACATCCCCAAAAACAACATGGCCTGTCAAAACGACAAATCAGTTGGAAACACCACGTCACATCATCGTTGTCTTCCAAACAGACAGAAAAAATAATATAAAATCAGATTCAAGTAAATTCGATGATTGCGACTTGACAAATATTCGAGTTTTCTTGAATAGTGACAGATACCCACATAATGACTTATATCTGAATTTCACTGCTAATAAAACTTCCCAATTATATTCCATGTTCGCAAATTTCAGACCATCGTATTATGGATCTAGTAAGGAACCTATATTTTCACCGAAAGAGTTTGTAGAGAACATCCCTATGGCATACATCGACTGTTCCCATCAGAAAGAATCTTTGCAAAGTGGATCAGTTGTGATGAGAATAGAGTTTGAAACAGCCAAAGCAATTCCAGACAACACTTCAGCATTCTGTTTAATTTTACATGATAAAATGTTCAGCTACAGTCCTTTGACAAAAATTGTCAAGCAATTGTAAAATAAATTCTTCATCCCCCCACTATACTCTTTCATTTTAAAGATAACATTCAAGTAGTCGATAATTTCAGTTGTGTATCATCATCCACGCAATGAAGTTATTAAGTATAGATATCGAAGGGTTCTCGTTATCCAATACGTTTTACCCCAAAGAACTATCAATTTCGAATGGCTATCAGATCAATAACTATTTATTCAAAGCAGCCGTTCCATTTTGTGCACTTCAGGAAGCAGACAAAAAACAAGTTCGTTGGCTAGAACGAAATTTCCATGGGCTAACATACTCTTCTGGGTTGATAGACTATGATGAATTACCGAATATACTATCAGAACATCTCAAAGATGTTGACTTAGTTTATGTAAGAGGACACCAAAAACTCGAATTTCTAAATTCGGTGCTAACGTCATCTCACAGACCCAAAATAGTCAATATCGAAATTTTTGACAATGTCATGGATACTGTCAAATTCAAGGCTGATAGTCCTCTATGCATGCACCATAATTCCAGTGACAACAATATGTGCAGTTTTCGAAATCGCAGGGATTTACATAATTGGATAAGTAGTCTCCTACCCCAATGACCTTTTCATTTGTTTGCTGACCGCTCAGATGTGCATCAACGACTTATTGAATCAACATATCAGAAACCTAAAGGAACTCAAAATGACTATCGACATTTTTGAGATGACGAAGAATTTCAACAGCATCAAGATAAGCTCAAGAGAAGAAGAAAAATGGAACCAACAGGTTTTTTTCAATCCGAGACGATTCCAACAAAACAAAATTACCACAACCAAACGAGTTACTTTGAAATGTCCTACTTTTAGTTAATACAATTATCAAATAATACTCTTTGTTTGATTCACTGATCCCTCCCTTAGGTTATATCCAAAATGTACAGTACCCTGAGTAGTGCGTTCAATATAGCGGGTCTCAGAATACTTGATACTGTGACAAGCAGGAGAATTCTCCCCAGCTCATTTCTGAGATGCTTCACCACCTGATTCTGAGATCGCAAGAATTTCCGTATTGAAACCATATGTCCATACAACATATAGAGCGATTCTAGTATCAAGAAACCATAAGGCTGTTCTGAGATCATTGATCTCTGAATCGACCTAGGATCAAATAATACATATAGGTCGATTCTAGTATCATTGATCTCTGAATCGACCTAGGATCAAATAACACATAGGTCGATTCTAGTATCTTGATATTAGAATCGACATTGTCTATCCCAGAACATATAGAGCGATTCTAGTATCCAAAAACCATAAGATCATTGTTGTTTGAATCGACCTACGATCAAATGGAACATGAGGCTGTTCGATAGATCATTGATACTAGAATCGACCTAGTATCAAATAACACATAGGTCGATTCTAGTATCTTGATATTAGAATCGACCTTACATATCTACTAATATGATACAAGAACACATACTAATAATATCATACTACCAATACCAAATTCAACCCTTGTTAAAAACTCCTTTGTTTATTATGGGCTCAAGTCAATCACCTACCTGATGTGATCAAGGACATTTCACTATATTGCAGATTCAAAAAGGGCACATTATGCCATTGACGAATTCCTAGCAGATACTACTTTCTAATTCGTTTATTTTCTAACTGATGACTTAATTGATCCTCCACAAGCATGGCCTGCCTTCACATACTTCAATAGCTTTAAATTCATTCATTTGTGTTTGTATCTTGTAAGTTTATTATTTGTAATGTTGTGTTGATTTATAAACGTACTTGTGAATTTAGTTAGGTTAGTAATGTCTCATAATTATATAATTAGATATTTTTTCATATTTCACATTTTGATCGTTCAAGATTTGTAACGAGAATCTCATTCTTAGACAATAAAGCACCTTTCTGACTTTGACGACATATTTCGCGGAGACGTCTATTCGATTCTCAGAACTGACGATTTAAATTTGAGAATTATGAAAATTCGGAAATGTCAGTACATTTTTCAAAGGGCGTGTAATGAGATATTCGGGGCAATCTAGTTCAAAAAAATCATCATTTGCTTGATGATTCAATTAGTTTGTAGGGTTCCTGATTTATTTCCAGTCTTTTTTCTCAATACGGTCACCGACCAGTTCATAGAGTGCTTTCGTGAAGTACTGAATAATTTCATTTTTATACAAACTCTCCATTTCTGAGGAATCTCCTAAAACAGGTCGAATTCAATTTTGAATTGCCAAATTCATGAAAAAAAGTATACAGGGTGATTCACATGTGAGTTTTGACAATTCTGCGACAATTTTTTCCCTACCTACCTTTGGATTATGACGTCCGTGACATTATCTTCAAATTGAACACCCTATATAATATTCAATTTTTGGAATCTCTATGAGAAGCTGGATTCAAAAATATTTCACAAATAGGGTTTGTTTACAATGCAATCGCCAAATTCACTGCGTTCGGAATATGGGGTTGCCTATAAAAAAATACTGATGACGTGTTTTTCCTCATACATCGAATTATTCTCCGACGTATATCTGGAAGTGGATGATGGGTGAGAACATTTCGAACATTTCATCTGATTGTATTGTTTTTTCTTGAAAAGTTGAATACGTATTTCATTGATATTGAACACGATAAGGGATCTAAATGTGATAAACAAATTTGAAACACGATTTTTAGTAGCATTTAACTTTTTGCGATATTAAGAAATATATTATGGTTCACAATAATTGTTCAAATTGTTGACCATTTACTTCAATGCAAAGATTTATGCAAATTTGAAATCAATAGACAACTATGACATAATATCAAAACGTCGACTAATCACAAATAATAAATTTTACGACGTTCCCATGGTAGGAATTTTCGAAATGTTCATGATATATTAATCTGTATATTAATCAAATTTGAAAAACACTCGAATAAAAATAAAATCAGACAGCTTCGAGCGTTCTTTCTGAAAATTATTTCTTCGATTTTCAACGAATTTATCCGCTACTTCACGAGATTACTTGATTTAACGAATGCACTGTATACAAACCCCATCGAGATTCCAAAAATTTAATTATATGGTTTTATTTGAAAATATTGTCGCGGACGTCATAGCTCAAACGTGATTCACCCTGTATATTTAATTTTCCCACATGAATGTGAAAACTTGACAATTGAACTCGACCTATTTTTGAAAATTGCTCAGGAATGAATTGTTTGGCTGAAAATGACTGTATCCACTGGTTTTAGAGAGCCTTTGATCCAACGGACGCACTGTATACAAACCATATGTGTAATATGTAATTGAATTCAGCTTTCCATTGATGTTCCAAGAATTTAATAATATATAGAACAATATTCAAAAATATTATTGCGGACGTCATAACTCAAACGTGGATTACCCTGTATATTTAATTATCCCTATAAATGTGGTGAATCGGGAATAAAAATCAACCTGTTTCAGGAGATTCCTTAGAAATGTATAGTTTAGCTAAAAATGCATTTATTCAGACTTCATGAAAGCACTATTATGATGATTCATAATAAACTGCTCCACATGAGTGTCAAAAATGAAATTAAGTTGTAACATTATTGATTCACCTATTTATCTGTATATCATAATCACATGTATAATTTATGTATAGTAGGTATACATACAATACCTTACCTTTTGTTGAACACTATACACTGTGTCCATGGTAAAGATGTAAATGGTATGGGGAGATCGGAAATAATGCCAGTTAAAAAGTACGGTAAAGTCGAAATAACTATTACACACTCGAGAACTCAACTGATTCACTGAGATTATTAGTTGTTGAAGAGAGTAGTGAACAAAAAACGGACAGTGCTGTATTAACTTATTACAAAACCATTTCTGTTCAATCACTTCCGGTTTCACCGGACACGACCCCAAATTTTGATTTCAAAATGGGACACCCTGTATTTCATTCCATAATCGGTTAGGGATTATTATGAAGAATTCAACGATACCGGGTTTGATAGGGTTATTTCAAATGATCACAAAGATATATGGGTTCGACATTTCCATCTGCTCAATGGGTGCATTGTCTATGACATGATATTTTACTAGTTTTATAACTTCATTAAAAATGGTACTTGCATCTCAATTTCGAAACTTCTTTCTCTGTCACACTCATTGAGCATATGGAACTTAGAACGCGGATATCTTCGTATTCGTCTGAAATATCCCTATCAAACCTGGTATCGTTGAATTCGTTATGATAAACCCTAACCGATTATGGAATGAAATACAGGGTGTGAACAAGTATTTTTTTACATAGGAGTGGGTGATAATTTTTGTCGGTTACTCGACCGAAAAGATACATATAATAATGAAGATGATGAAAAGCCCTAATTTCGAGTGACAATGGAAAATGAAAAAACTCCACCGCCCCGCGTGAGAGTCGAACTCACAACCTCTGGGTTACATGCCCAACGCTGTGCCAATTGAGCCAACGGGTCATCCGTCAATCAATCGGCAGGGAGGTCGAGTTCTCATCACACACCAAGCGGCAGAATCCTTCCAATTCCCGAAGTCACTCGAAATCATGCACTATACGAAGCATTTCTGGCAGGATGGTACTATACAATCTCCATATTTCCCCGTTCGTCCTCTGGCATTGTTTTTCCTTGTATACGGAAATGTCCGCAAGCAATACATAGGAGTAGGTGATAATTTTTGTCGGTTGTGAGCAAGTTGGTATACTTGCTACACATTTAATTTTTGAAATCAGATCAGCACTGGCCGCTTTTTGTTCTCTGTAAGTATATATATTGGGTTCAGACTGTTCTAGGTTGACCTGAGCGTTTCTTGACTTGTTTTTTCAGTGGCAATGTATGTTGCATCATGTTGCATCATAAGCATAAAAGACTGGTTTCATTGTCTGGCCTAGAGTGCCCCGAACATTGCATTTCACGCCGTTTATTAAAGTATGTGGACACACTAGTCATGTTATTAAACAGCTGAACAAAAAACATGAGACTCAAATATGTTTCGTAAGAGATGGAATGTAATTTTTCTGTATCCCTTCATTGAACGAGTGTAGACATATTATTATTATTTGAAACCCTAATTACATCATTGAATGTATTTCCATGAAATGGATATTGGAATTAGAAGCTTCAACGAACACTTGAAAGATCTTCTCGTCTTTAGAATTTTTGCAATCCGTTGCCCGAACAAGAAATATTCGAATACATTGTGAATCTGAGAATGATGACAATTCCTAAAAGTCAGTGGTGACAAGCGTGTCCACAATCTCTAAAGGGCGTGCAATTAGATGTTCGACGCACTCTATAGTCTGACCTAGATTGATAGGCAGGCAGATATTTGAAATGAATCATCATTAACAAGGGTCCAACTACAGAGCCACCTGAAGAACACCATATTGCACAGTAGAGTTTTTATTACTCATTATGCCAAAGTTATAGAGTTTTGGTAATAAAAATAATGAAGACGAACTGTGTCGAAAGCTCTTATTAAATTATCTAGCAAAAATGATTGACTGAACATGGAAACTGTTCAAAATGGTATCACACAAGTCACAAACTGCCGCAATAGTATTTTTTTGGGGTTGACCCTGATTCGATCCTAAAAAAACTTGAAAATTCGAGACTTTCTTTAGATCTAATGAAAATAATGAGATCAAAGATTGTTTGGGCTGCATCTACAGATTTCAGGCATTTCAAGTTCTGAGGGTCGGTTGCATAAAACTCCATGTTGTCCCATCAAAGCTAAGACACACATCATGGACATAAGAAAATTGAATATTCAATCGGCTTAAAAATGGTTTAGGCAGCTGGCCCTGAGTGTTTCCTATATTTTTGCTATAATGATGACGCAACTGAGGTTTACTGGTATGTTGTAGTTTTCAGAATTATTTTTACTACGCTTACTGAGGTTTTAAATAGTTTACAAGTACCGGGTGTAATACGATCATGGAACACCAAACTATTTTGATAAACATAATTTGCTGATGAATCAAGAAATTTTACATTTTTGACAGGATTATTTGTTTTAGCATTACACCTGTCGAAATGAGTACATAAGACTCGATCAGAATAGTCATGGCACACTCAGATAGAAGATTGAAAATGAAATTGAAATAGTTATTGAAGTTTGAAATGTCGCTTATGTGATATCAGTTGATTCATAAAATGATGCAGAATTCGAAAATCAAAAGTTATGACCACTTCCGGTGAAACTGGAAGTGGAAAAACAAACAATTTATGTTTAAACAAGTTTATCAAGTTGATGAGTCATTCCAAATTTCAAACACTCATCTCCAAAACTAAAGGAGAAGAAGAAGGTGTACTATGATCCTGTTACACCCTACTGCAGAACTCCCTTGTCAAAATTATTCATGAAAAATAAGCTTTTCTCAACAAATCAATTATACAGGGCCATGTCGTAAATGATAGGGCTGATAGAAGGAGCCAAAATAATGTGAATATGCTTTTCTTCAATGCCTCCCGTTTTATATTTTTTTAATGGATCAACTCAAAAAATTGGGAAACTTTTGATGATGAAATCGACGCATGAATACCTACTATATTTTGGAGTAAAATTGAGAGATGAAAATTTCAAAATGGCGACTAGACGCCATCTGAAAAAGAAACAAATGGAAAGGAAGGATATTGTGATACATCTTTTTGAAGCTTCTGACGAATACTTCACAACCCTAGAACATAAAGTCAATACCTTCACCTACCTACTACAAATTGTCTGAATACATCGACGTTTAACTTCATAATTCGAAAAAATAAGCTGAGTTCAGTTCAGAAGATGCTCGAAATGGTTGCCTTGAACTTCTTGACATAAGAACAGCCTATCCGATATTTGACGTCGAACACTTTTCAACACAGTTACGTCGATATTTCTACAAATATTTATCATTCTCTGTCGTATATCCAGTAGAAGCAGGTGCAGTTTCCTACACATTTTGCTTCGAATAGCCCCATGAAAAAAGTCTTAAGGTGTCTGGTAAGCGGACTGGCCATTCCGTAGGACCTTGACCAATCCAACGAACAGAGAAAGTATTATCCGAATAGTTTCTAACTTGTCTGGAGTAATCTGGTGATGCTCCATATTGATGTGTTTGTATTCAGCAATTCAATAAGTTAAGAAGAAGAAAGACGTGACAAATGACATGGACAAGACATGTGACAGTTGGCGGGATAAGTAGAGTTAAG